AAAGTAGGTTTGTTAATTTTTAGGGACTGGTTGTTACTTTAATTCTATTATTTGCAAGAAATTTAGTAATGCGAGTTTTAAGGGATTTTTTAAAGACTTTAGCCAGGCATGATATTACTGAGATTGGTCGGTAATTTAAACCATTTGTTTTTTCTCCTATTTTATAAATTGGTGTTATTACTGCAGTTTTGAACTCTTGAGGGATACAAGAACTTGCGAAAATTGAATTAATTAAATGACCTAGAGGAGAAGCAATAACAGGTGCAATATTTTTAAGATTTCAGATTTTATACCATCAATCCCTGCAGCATTTTTAGATTTGATTAATTCAATAACTTCAGGTTCTGTGACAGGTACTAGGAAAAATGATCTTTTTTGTAAAATACTCTTTTTGCCCTCCTCTTGGGTACAATAAGCTCTGCAGCCACAACTCGCTTGACGTTATCATTCAGATGGGGGTCTTTCAATTTTACTCTTTTACTCTTCACACTTAAAACAAACATCGATCTGTAGACGGCCGAATAACAAGTTACAGTTTTCAAGAAAATACTTTCGACACTCTGGATAATTGACCATGAACATGTCATGCATAATCTTAACATTAAGCTGAGCAGATAAATATGTCTTTATAGTATTTGAATAATGCACTTGATTCACTGGGATATTGTCAATAAAGTTGTAGATTTTCTGGCAAACTTCACCTGGAATCGGTTTGTTTCGAGCACCAGCAGATTTTCTTCTTATGTCTTGAGGTGTTCGACGTTGACTTTTTAAAGAAGAGAGACGCTCACATCTTGTTTTTTTGAGAAACTTTCTGTCGGTTGTTACACTCAATGTGGTAACGAAATATGTTTGTTTTAAATTTATGCTTTTTGGATTTTCTTTTAGTAATAAGTTCAGAATCAGACATTCATTTTTGCAGTAGCTTGACGTACCCACATCTATTAGGCATTGAAAAAAAAATGTCCTGTTCATCTTTGGATTTAAAATTGGCCGTTACTGCTAGCCATTCCCTGTTTAGTATATTTTTTTTTAATAAAAGGCTCAAGTAGTGTAAGAATTTTTTAATATCGAAGAGACATGGGTCAAAAAAAATACAATTTTTATAGTATCCCCTAAAATCTGAATGTCAATAATAAAGGGTGGTCAATTCACAATGAATAACCATGCATATTGTATATTACATAAATTTTATATTGCATAAACAAGCTTGTAGAAATTTGTAACAATTTGTGTACGTCTCATCATTTCTGAAAGCATATACTGTATGTAAAAGGTCTTTACAAAAACATACCACATATATTCCTTAGACCAAAATAAGTCGATTTAAGTAAAATTACCTAAGTACAAAGTTGCTTCGTTTGGGCTCCAGAGGGCCTTGAAGTTACAATTTTTAAATTGTTTTTCCCATATAAATTTAAAACGGCATATGCAATTTTGCTGAAATTTGGTATATTGGTAGAGTTTTATGTGGTACATAGGCGTAGAACTTGATTTTTTAAATAATTGCACCTTTAAAAATTCTACGCCAATGGAAGAAAAGGAGTTTGAGTATGAAATTTAGATTGCGCAACTCATTTACTTTAAAAAAGGTACTCTTGATAAGACTCGATTACTCTCATGGTTTTGACAAAATTTGCATTTTAGTAATTTTAGAATATAAACAATAGTTATTAAAATACAAACTTTGTCAAAACCATGAGAGTAAATCGAGTGTTATCAAGGGTACTTTTTTGTAGTAAACGAGTACCCAATCCAAATTTTATACTCAAACCCCTTTTCTGCCATTGGCGTAGAATTTTTAAAGGTGCAATTATTTAAAAAATCAAGTTCTACGCCTATGTATTATTATCGGACAAAATTTTATACGATGAAAAACATAAAAATGTACTTTTTTCATATCTTCTTCAACACCTCTAATCGAGACTTTTAACAAAAATACTCGATTCTTGCCATGTACGATTTTTTGAGGAACATTAATTATTTGCCTGCAATACGTATACAAAAACATTTATTGTTGGTTTCCACAGTTTCATCTAAATAAAAATATTGTCAAGTTTTAACACCTAATCTCTTGTTAACGATTGAAAGTGTTCTATCTGACTCAATAATTAAAAAAACAAATGCGTGGTTTATTAATATGGCTGTAAAATATACCAATGCAGAATATACCGATATGTTACTGACATTAGGATTTTGTGAAGGAAATGCTCGAGAGAGTGTCAGGGTGTACTCTGAAAGGTTTCCAAATCGTCGTGTACCTAGCCACCCAACTTTTGCAGCTGTTGAGAGACGTATTCAGGAGACCGGTTCCTTTGCTCCCAACACTGTTGATAATGGAAGAGAACGTTTTGTAAGGATTCCTGAAGTTGAAGAAGACATTTTAGAACGTGTTGAATAAGATCCAGAATTAAGCACCAGACGAATTGGAAGAGAACTAGGAGTAAGTAAAGATGTCGTTCATAAAGTGCTTAGAGAACAATTGCTATATTCATACCATAAGAAGCTAGTACAAGAATTATTAGTCCATGATCCTCAAATTCGTTTGGGTTTTTGTCGATTTGTTAAAGAAAGATCCAAACTTTGTCAAGAAGGTTCTCTTTACCGATGAAGCGGGTTTTACAAGAAGAGGTGTAACTAATACCCATAATGAACATGTTTATGCCGTTGAAAATCCGCATGCAATAAAGGTAAACCATTTTCAGCACGAATTCAAAATTAATTTGTGGGCTGGAATAATTGGTAATTTCATTGTTGGTCCTGTCATATTTCCACGAAGATTAACTGGAGAAAATTATTTGGATTTTCTACAAAATACGTTGCCAGAATTGTTAGAAGATTTACCTCTCCAACTTCGGAGAGATATGTGGTTTATGTAAGATGGAGTTCCATCACATTTTTCTTTAAACGTTAGAAACCACATGGATAGGCAGAGGTAATGACGCACCTGTAAACTGGCCATCACGTTCCCCAGACCTAACACCAATGGATTACTTTTTATGGGGACATCTGAAATCCACAGTTTACAGGGAACCTGTAGAAAATGAGGAACAACTCTGGCAACGTATTCAAGATGCAATAAACAATCTTAGAGGTGATGAAGAAGTTATGGAAAGGATACATTTTAATTTTCTTCGACCTATAAATCTTTGTATGCGTGAAAATGGTGAACATTTTGAACAATTTTTATAAAATCTCTATTTTGATTATGTTGTAAATAAATATTTTTGTGAAACCTATACACTCTAAATTATTAAAACAGAAATTTAGCGAAAACCATGAGAGTAATCGAGTCTTATCAAGAGTACCTTTTTTAAAGTAAATGAGTTGCGCAATCTAAATTTCATACTCAAACTCCTTTTCTTCCATTGGCGTAGAATTTTTTAAGGTGCAATTATTTAAAAAATCAAGTTCTACGCCTATGTATTATTATCGGACAAAATTTTAATACCATTTTTTTTGCCACATAAAACTCTACGAACATACCAAATTTCAGCAAAATCGCATATGTCATTTTAAATTTATATGGGAAAAACGATTTAAAAATTGTAACTTCAAGGCCCTCTGGAGCCCAAACGAAGCAACTTTGTACTAAGGTAATTTTACTTAAATCGACATATTTTGGTCTAAGGAATATGTGGTATGTTTTTGTAAAGACCTTTTACAGACACCATGTATAGGGTGAGGACCGAAAACGAAACAGATCGCATATCTTAAAGACACATTATTATTTTGTAACAACCAGTTAGCCTAAAGACCATTTGTAACTACTGATAGGTCTTTAGCTACTGTTACTATACTATTAAGGGATAAAGGCAGCGCTTGTCACCAGCCCTAGGGTCCTGGCGTCCTGAAGGAACATCCATTCGCCAGTGGCAAAATAAAATAATAAAAGAAAATAATAAAAATACAAAAAAAACATCCCTTAATAGCATATGTCGAGCGGTTTTGGCAACTGACTTAAGACTTTCAAGTCCTTAAGGGTAGGAACGCCGAGGCTTAACATGCTCGGAATATTTCTTACTGGTTTTTGGAAAGAGGTGAGAATAAAATAGATTAATAAACAATAACATGTATATTTAAATATAATTAAAAAATGAATAACAAATTTCAATAAATCCAAAACAATATCAATTTTTGAAATACGACAAGCAAAAATTACTACCCATAATTATAAATCTTTATTATGACAAACCATGTTATTATAATATAATTTATGATGAAACTTTGATATAAAGAAACCTTTTACATCACAAAACATTTTAATATAAAAAAACTCTTTATATGATAAAACCCTTAAAACTGATAAAAACATTTAATAAGTAAACTTGGGACGAAACATGAAAGAATTGGCATTTGAAGAAAGACTAATGAACTGTTTTAAAATACATAACCCAAACAAGAGATTTAAACATGTTAAAATAAAATAGATATTACCTTTGAAACTAAAACACTACACACACACTTTACTATATATAATAAATACTAATAATTACTAAGTTACATTTTTGGGCATAGGTTTGGCCCAACGGCCGCCCCTTGAGTCCTGTTTGTGTCAACGATTGACTCTCTATTTATATCAACCTTAACGTGATTATTTTAAAAAGAAACTCTACTTATTTATTTTTAATGATTATTCGCACGATTTGTCCTTTAATTTTCTAGTACAATGAACTATTTCTAATTGTTTGGTTTTAATAAATATGTTGTGTTAATTTAATAGATATTAAAAATATTAGATATTTTTGGGATTTTTGTTAAATTCTTTATATTTTAAAAATAATAATGCCAATTATTACAATTTCATCTGTTTCGTTTTCGGTGTCTCACCCTGTATAACTCAAACCGCGAGCTGGTTTAACTATATTTATTTTTGTCCTTGATCGTTGATGAAACAATATTGGAAAATTCTTATGTGATATCTTTTCCACTTCTACACCGATACCAAATGCCGTACATCTCATCCTATCGATCTCGAGCTGCATTCTTTTTTCTTCCAGATTACGTGTACAATCCGAAGGAAGCCCGATTGCGGAAAGCGATGCGAGAGGCGGCTAGCCGGGACCGGTCGATCGGGGCTTCCCCGATGCTCCCACGTCCTAATGCCCGCAGAGCCGGTGCCGCTTGGGGGACTCCAGGACCAGCTGCGACGGTTGGAGGTGTAGGTAGCATTAATTCGGCGCCGCATGGTCCCCATGAAGAACCGCTTATAATAGTAAGTGAAAAAATTTCAATTCAATTAAAAATTAAAAACCTTACCCACCAAAATAGTATATTACATAACAGGTGTGGAAAGTGCAACATTTCGCACGAGTTGAAACTAAACGAGTGCGAGAAATACACTTTACAACGAGTTGTGTACACTATTTGTCCTACGACCTCACACAAAATCCTTAAAAAACGTCTTTTTTAAATAAGAAAGTCAATTAAACCATATCACACAAGTACCGAAAAGTATATCACACATGTGTCGAAAAGAATATCAACACATGTGTTGAAAAGTAAAGAAAAACCCTCAAAAATATTTTTCATTTTGTAACAGTAGAAATTTTTAATTAAAAAATATTTCTCATAATTTTTTAAAATAATGTTTAATGCAGATGATCTTCCATATTGTTTATTTAAACATTCGAATTACAGATTAAGCTAAGATTTAAATATTTAACGGATATTATAGTGTTATCACGGTAACCACTTTGGGTTTTGTTTGAGAAAAGTTTCCAAGGCTAACTATATATCATTAACTCTTGGTATACACCAGTGGTCGCCAACCTGTCGATCGCGAGCTACCGGTAGCTCGCGGAGGCAATTCTGGTAGCTCTCACAACGATTTTAATTTAAACTATACAAACTGCAAAAATCAGAGAAGCTTCCGAAAATTCCACAAAAAAATCTAATTGTCATAATATTAAACATAAATAGCGGCAACGTTGCGGTGAGCGATCTGCCGCTGACGCCATCAAGCTAGAATCGGCTAGAACCGACCAGCCGGACCAGCGCGTTAGTGTTCGAGAACGATCAGGATTGCTTTGAACGGGATGAATACGCACGGCGCGACGACATTGCGCTTAGTTTAAAACTGAACGCGTAACCAACGTCCAGCGGTTGGGTTAGTAGAGAACAACAAAAAATAATATTATGGCAAGCAGTTGTAAGAAGGTAAAGACATACCACTTTCATTCGGAATTGGAAGAACAATACTTTTTTACAGAAGTTAAAGATAAACATGTGTGTTTGTTATGTAATACTTCGGTCTCCGTTGCTAAAAAAGGAAATATTGAGAGACATCATAAAACTGTACATTCTAATTTTGAAAAATTATTCCCACTACATTCTGCCGCCAGAAAGGAGAAACTGAATCAGTTAAAAAAGCAGTTAAATGGACAACAATCAATATTTTTAAGAACAGTCGACAAAAATAAGGCTGCAACTGAAGCATCGTACCGTGTGTCCCAGATAATTGCACAAAAAAAGAAACCTTACGAAGACGGGGAAATGATAAAACAGGCGTTTTTAGAAGCTGCTGATTTGTTATTTGCCAACTTTAGAAATAAAGACGAGATAGTTTCAGCTATAAAATCTATGCAACTTTCTGCTAATACAGTGATGAGACGTGTAGAAGTAATGAGCAATGATATTTTTTTACAGTTAAGAACTGACTTAGATAACTGTGTTTATTTTCTACTTCAACTAGATGAATCAACAGATGTCGTTGACACTGCCCAGATGGCCGTGTTCGTCAGGATGGTTTTTAGTGATTTTACGATTAAAGAAGATCTTTTGAAGTTTATTCAACTGAAAGGACACACTACTGGACAGGAGTTGTTTTCTCATTTAAAAAATATTATTTCTTCCGAGAAAATTCCAATATCGAAAATGGTAGGCTTGACAACCGATGGCGCTCTAGCTATGGTGGGTTGTGATAAGGGTCTGGTGGCGTTATGTCGTAAAGATGAAACTTTTCCGCAATTTCTCTGTTACCACTGCATTATCCATCAGCAAGCATTATGTGGAAATTTCCTAAAATTAAACAACGTTATGAAACTGGTGGAAAAAATTGTGAACAAGATTAGAGCTTAAGCGTTACAAAGAAGATTATTCAAAACCTTAGCCGATGAAGTTGACTGTCAATACGGGGACCTAATCCTTCACTTTGAAGTCCGATGGTTAAGTAGAGGACGGGTGCTGAAACGTTTTAATGATGTCCTATCTGGCATAGTTCAATTTTTCAAACACGATGAACCGACTCCGGAACTAGAAAATTCAATCTGGCTTAGAGATTTTGGTTTTCTCGTGGACATTACAGAGAAATTAAACGAACTTAATTTGCAGCTTCAGGGGAGATACAAAGAACTAGCGGAAATGATTTCTGATATAAAAGCATTCATCAAAAAGCTGGAATTTTGGGAACAAAACCTAATTAACAGCGATGCCAAGCACTTTCCTATTCTTTCAGAAAAAATATCTCAAAATCCATTAGAACCCTATGACAGCAATATCATGTAGAAATAGTTTCTACCCTGAAGAATAACTTCAAAAATCGTTTTAAGGATTTCAACGAAATGGCTTTAGTAGCGCAGTTTGTTGTTTCATCCTTTATGGAAATTGATATCCAACAGTTTACAACTTGTGTTATGCAGACCTTTGGCGAAGACATCGCTGCAACAGAAATGGAAGTAATTGAGTTTCAAAATGATTTAGCCTTAAAATCGTTAGTCTCAAGTACCAAATGTATCTGGCCTATTGTAAGTAAAGACAAATATTCAGTTCTATGCCGTGTTGCCTTGAAAGTGAAAGCATTATTCAGTTCAACCTATTTGTGTGAATCTTCTTTTTCTAATATGAAGTTTATTAAGAACAAATATCGCAATCGACTTACAGATGAACATTTGGATAATTGTATTCGAATGGCTGTATCAAATTATACTGCAAACATTAAAAAAATTATCGATGAGTCTGAGTGGCAGCCTTCTCATTGAACGTGCTTTTTTATTTTTCAATGTTTATGTTCATGATAGTGCGTTGATTTTTTGTTGTTATTATTAACTATTTTTAAATCTTACGTGACATGCCGTTGTGGCTGGATAAAAGTTTGTGTTTATTTTTCAAACACCTTCGTTTGGTAGGTAGAAATGTAGCTATGAACAAGTACGTACTAGTAATATTAGTTATTTTGTTATTAGTTTATTATTAGTACCTATGTATTATGTATTACCAGTTAAATAGTAAAATAAATACATATAATGATAAATTAACTGTGGATTATTTCATTTACGTTGCGTTACGTGGCTTCCGTGTGGGTAGCTCGATGTTTATTCCAAAATTAATAAAGTAGCTCAACACATTGAGAGGTTGGCGACCACTGGTATTCGCTCCGTGCGCGACAGCAGCGCCAATTCGTTTTGGAATTAATGGACTATTTCTGCGTATACTGACAAATGCAATTTTTAATAAAATTCGTAATTAAAAAGTATATGTGTTAGTTTTAATAAAAGTATATGGATTTGTAACACAAGTAAAACATTAATTTATTATTATTATATATTTTTATCTCTTAAATTAAAGAAAATTATGTATAATCAATAAAAATGAATAATAAAATACAGGCAGGCAACAGTATCTACTGGAAAATGTATGAGAAGTTGCCTAAGTCTAATAAGTTGTCATTGAAGAATTATTCTGTCAAAATAAAAAAATACCATTTAATAATAGCGTGAAGTTAAAATGTATAAATAAAGGATCGTTATTTATATTTTCATTTTTGTTGGAGAGAAAACATAGAGTGAATAATTAAAACTGGTTTCTATCAGTAAGTTACAAAATTGTATTCCAGCCACATATAATAATAATCAAAGGCAGAAATCTTGAAATATAGTCCTTGCTGAATGAACATTTAAGAATAAAGGGATATTAAAGAACATCGTAAAATGATAATTTATTGTCTATTTAAAACCTTTCAAGTTTCTGATGTCTACTATTTCCAGCATTACTGTTATTATTACAAAAATAAAGGTAATTTTTCTTCTTATTGTACACCCATCCATTTATTTCTTTGATTTAATTTCCACTTTGCTACTGAAATTTTTTATATAAGTTTCACTGTTTTTTTTGCTAGTATTTGTACAATTTTCAACACAGCAACTCCGGTTGTTTATTGTATTGTTTTCACCTACTTTTTTGAAAAAAAGTAAAATGTATACGTGTATTTGATATGCCAAAATTACAAAATATCACCCTAAAATGCACGAATTATCCGCAGCTAGCGCTAGTATCGCTTTTGCTTCTCTTTCCATGACTTCGCACGGAGCGAATACACGATCTAAAACATCTAGAATTGCCTATTAAAGGCGATCTAGAGAAAATTAAATTTTATTCGAACTTTTGGGTGAGCACTGACTCCCGAATAACTTCTGATTTGTTCACGGGAGTTTTCACGAAATCAAATAACGAATTTAACAGCTAATAAGCAACTCGTAACTTTTCGTAGGAATCGGATATCCCATAAATTAGCGGATGTCAGACTTTTTGGAAGTTTAGGAAACAAGTCTCTCGGAATTAAACAGTAATGAAAATTAAGATAATTTTTATTTGCTGCTTATTATTTATTTTTCAATTTATTTTTAATTATTAAACCACTATTTATATTGTCGACAACTTCCACCTTAAAAGTTATAAAGTATTTTGAGAAGTTCTTCGGAGTTTTTCTTTGAAACAAACTTTTAGCCGAAAAGTTCTGTCACACTATTCACTCGATACTTTTAATGTTGTTTTAGTTTTTGATTGAACCGATTGGGACACCCGCGCTGAAAACAAAAAGAACAAAAATAAAAAAAAATAAGTCTCTATAGATTTATCGTGGCTGTTCACGGAATAAAATCGCTTAAAGACGATGGATTTCGAATTTGGTTTTACCTAAAGAATGTTTTAAAAATCAATCAGTTTTTTTGGTTGTAATAAAAGTTAAATCAACAATAGCCATATTGATTTGTGTTAAATTAAAGTAATGAAGGGGAATATTTATTTCCAGATAGTTTTAGTTATTTGCTGGAATAAAAAAAGAAAATTTACACGGTTTACCCGTATACTAAAGTGTTAGAACTACCCCAAGTCTATTTACTTTCTTTATTATTAAAATGTAAAATGAATGAAACAAAAAGTTCTAGATTTGGCACGTCGTAAATTAATTACATCATGTTATTATGTCAGGTAGTGGTT